GAGAGGGAGAAGGTGGTGAGTCCAGCAAGCCGGTGCCCATGGCCAAGGACTGGGTGCAGGCAGAGCCCCTCTGCTGCCTTGCTGTTGAGGAGCCGTGGGCCAGTGTGGCTGGTCTGTCCTCCCGCTGCCAGGCCCAGGGGCTCCAGACACCAGTATCTAGACAGGGCCCAGAGGGCTGGCGCCTCCCCGGGCAGGGGACAACGTACCATCCTCTCCCGCAGGCCCAGCTCGGCACGCCGGGGTGAGCAGCTAGGGTACCTACGGCCATGCAGACCCCCCCCCCCCAGTGCCCACATGTGGGCCGGAACCCCAGCACCCACCCCCCATAAACCCTCTCCCCCAGACCCACATGACTTGGGCTCCTGTACAACTAACTAACAGCCGTGGGACACGCCCAGCTCCCGTCTCTCAGCACCCAGCCTCCCCGTCTCTGGTGCGCATGCAGCAGGAGTCCCTGCTCTCAGTGGCCATTGTGCCCGTCACCCTGGAGTACGACACCCAGGCCAACCAGCCCTTGCCACAGCCACAGGCTGCCCTGGTGCTGCTGGTCAGCCACGTATGGTACGAATTGCCCTGAAGGCTTGTCCTGCCCCCTCAGCGGACAGCCTGAGGCAGCCAGCGGGTACCTGGCAGTGCCGGCCGCCGGCCCCCTGCAGCAGTCAGCTCAGGCCCTCTGCTGAGCAGAGCGGGCGCTGTGCCTGGCAGGGGCACGTTCACCTTTCACGTACCCAGGGCTCAACCGTGAAGCATCAGTCACAGCCAGCGGGACACTGGTGGGGTGTTGGAGCCAGCCCCATAGTATCCCCTGTACCCAGAGCCCCTGACACGCCTGCAGCACAAAATCCCACAGCCAGCCCCCACTCAGGACTCAGCCAGGCCAGAGAGCAGCTCTCACCCCACTCTGAGAATCTCGGGCAGGGACCGGAGAGCAGCAAAACAGACACACCCTGCTCCTCCACACCATGCACAAATTGCACATGGACACTCACTGTAGACACATGCACTGCACGTACACCTGCTCCCTCACACACATACACACCTAGCTCCCAGGCCAACTGGGGTTTCATTGAGCCCCTCCTGTTTCACCAGCCTGGATTCCCTCTCTGTGTTTTGCTGCAGACACAGCCTGAAATCAGCTCTGTGAGCGGATTCACCCAGCACTCATGTGTATATAGAATCTCAGGGTTGGAAGGGACCTCAGGAGATCATCTAGTCCAACCCCCTGCTCAAAGCAGGACCAATCCCCAGACAGATTTTTGCCCCAGATCCCTAAATGGCTCCCTCAAGGATGGAGCTCACAACCCTGGGTTTAGCAGGTCAGTGCTCAAACCACTGAGCTATCCTTTCCCCTTCCCATAGCCCCTTTGGGGAATAAACCCAAAAGAATACTGTCTTGCGCTGTATAGAAAGTTCTGCACAGCGCAAACTCATAAAAATTCGCCCTCTTCCTCAATGTGAAGAGAGATGCGCATGACTTGGCCCCCTCCCAGTTAGAAATTGCACAAACTGGGTTTAATAATAAACAAATGTATTAACTCTGAAAGGCAGGTTTTAAGTGGTTAAAGGGATAGCAAACAGAACAAAGCAGATTACTAAGCAAATAAAACAAACACTCAAACTAAGCTTGATTTACTACAGAAATTGGCTACAAATAATCATTTCTCACCCTCAATATGGTCACAGCTAGATTACAGGGATTCTTGCAAGCCAGCTGCAGTGGCCTGCTGCTTGAAACGTCAGGTATTATTACTCACAGGCTAGACAACCTTTGAGCCTGGGCTCAATTCTTTTCCCCTCCGTTCAGTTTTTCTTTTCAGGTGTTTCCCGGTGTCTCTTTGTTTGGGGAGGCAGAGGAGAACCTCAATGATGTCACTCCCCTGCCTTATATAGGTCTTGTGTATGGGGGGAACCCTTTGTCTCCCAGAGGAAGAACACTGGCATGCCAAGGGGGGCACTCAACCCCTTGCCCCAGCCCAGTGAAAATGAGTGAGTGAGCAAGGATGGGGGAGAGCAAACAATGGAGGGAGGGGGAATGGAATGAGTGGGGGCGTGGCCTCAGAGATGGGGTGGGGCCTCAGGGAAGGAGCAGGACAGGGGCAGGGTTAAGGGTGTTCAGTTTTCTGCAAAGTTGGCAGCCCTACCTCTGCCCTGGGCTGTAGAGCCCCCTTGACTTTTACCCCTCCCGCAGCGCTAAGAAGTCCCTTGTCCTGTGCGGTAGAGCAGACTGACATGGGGGTTGTCAGACCCCCCCATTCCCCCACCCAACACCTACAGCCAGACCAGACTTCACGAACACGCTGTCCCACTGCATTGCCCCAGGACCATGAAGAGGGGCCTTTGAATGACCCATTTATTAGTGGGGCTGGCGTGCCCTGGGTGGGGTGGGAGTGGGAGGAAAGGGAGCTGGCCCGGAGCTCAACTCTAGCATCCCCCTGTGTTGTTGCCCCTCAGCTGTGCAATACGGATCCTCTCCCCACTCAGGGCAGCGTCCCCGTCTCAGCAGGCCATCGGGATCCCCCACCCTCCAGCCACAATCCCAGAATGTCTCTCCCGTCCCCTAGGACAGGCGATGCTTTCCCCAGCTCTGCAGCAAGAGCAGGCAGACCGCTTTAGTGAAGGACTCGCTCAATGCATCTGCTTTGCCATGGGGCTATAGAAGCACTCCTGAGATGTGGCCAGACTGGGTGGCTGTGCCTCTGAAGCCAGGGGAGCCCAAATCCTACCAGCTGCAGGAACCTGCTGAGAGGTCAGGGCTGTAGCTGGTTTGCTTAAAATGGAGCACATTTTAGCTGGCTGTCTTGAATACAGAGACATGGCCTGCAGAGACTACAACGCCCAGCATGCCTTGCTCCCTCTTGAGCCAAGCTCCTTAAAGCCACGTGGCCTCAAGGTGGAGCAAGGCATACTAGGAGCTGTAGTCTCCCGAAGCCGTGCTTTGGGATCCATGTCCTGTCTCTCTGTATGGGCCTCGCTGGGAATCTTTAAGGGCTTTGTAATTTCCTTTGTCTGAATCGCCTCTGTCATGCTCAGCATGTGTTGATGTCTTTACAACTTATTGAATAAATGTGGAAACCAGCCGTGGCCGCGTGCGGAGTCTTCATTGCTGCCCGGGCTGGCGTGTGTGGGCGGGGGAGGGGGGGCGAGAGGGGTGCATCATTCCCTAGTCTGGGTCACATTCCTCTCTGATCTACACCAGTGTAAATCCGGAATGACTCCATTAGAGCCAAGGGGCTCAATGGGATGTCAGTGAGCAGCAAATGCAGGGCTAGTGGATAGAACGCTGGCCTGGAAATATGCATGCTAATCCCAGCTCTACAGCTAACCTGCTTGGAGACC